TGTGTGTGTGTGTGTATGCTGGAGGGAGAAATAGAAATTGAGCGCAGCATGGTGGTAGAGCTTACAGTAAATGGAGACATTTAGGAAAGCAGTAGATAGACAGACACAAACACACAGATCAAAGAGGTTTGAGCATTACAGTACACTAGGGAACAAAAGGAATAGAGAGAGAGAGACAGACTCAGAGACGGAGAGAGCGAGAGAGAGAGAGGATGTGAGTGAAGGTGAATAGAAACCCCAATCAATACGCCATCCAAGAACAGCTTGAGCCAGCGAAGGAGCAGAGAAACTGAAAGAGGGAGACAGAGAGAGAGAGACGGAGAGAGGGAAAAGTGGGTCAAATAATGAGACGAAAGGATGTGTGTTTGCACGGAGGACAGAGAGACGGAGGGAGAGAGAGGAAGATGGATGGAAATGTGATAGAAGAAGTGGGGTCAGAATAGAGAGAACGAGGGAGTCACGAGCGCCCGACCCCTGCTGACCCCTCAGCCAGGAGGGCCCGAGGAGTTCAGGGCAGGGGACGGGGGAAGGTTTGGAAAAAGGAGGAGGTAATATCGATGTGTGTGTGTGAGGGGGCTGATGTGTTGAAGAGGGTAAGGAGGAGGAGTGAGGGTGAGGGTCAGGGGGGTTGGGGATCAATCGACCATCCAAGGACAATATGGAGCCATTTTCTCAGACTCATTTGGTCTGATCACTGTAAACCAGGAACTTGAATTCACCTCAGTATTCACATCTGTCTCATGCACCTGTTTATGTGTTTACACAAACCATTCTGATATAACTGACTGTAATTTAGCATCTTGTGCACATCACACATTTGGCCGGATAACGTTACAGTTGCCGCTGTTATCCACTGAGAGCACTTTACATTAAACTGCATTTGAAGAGAAATCACTCACTGTTAACTTTGAAGAACACTATTTAGAGTGTCTGCAATTTTAAAGTCTGATTGTCTAGAGAGACTCAAATTATCCAACAATCCAACATAATATGTAGTGAGTAATTAGAAGATTAGTAGTCATTAATCAAGTGCTAACAATCATCACCCACTGATAAGGCTGCATCCCTAACGAGGCAAAGCAGGCAACTGCCCCGGGGGCCCCATAAAAGGCCCCTAAAAAGCTCCAGGCTGTGTTGCCATGTCAACTACAGAGTTAATTTTTCAAGTTTTAACATCTAATCACGTTGCCCTTTCTTGAAGAGGGGTACCTGTGCCCATTTGGCACGAGGACCATGCAGCAAATCTGGGCCCAGGTTCCAGTATTGAGAAGCTTTACAGATTGAGAGAGTGGGAAGAACGGAGGTTTGATAGGTGCCCTATACAAGTTAATCTGTCCTGTCTGTAAGCCTTTTTCATTACAAAAACATTTTGACATGTCACAGTAGGTAAAGCACAGGTGTAAATAATAGTTTGTGGAATTACATTCAGTTTCAGGGTCCTGACATAGTGCATGCTGCTTCAATGTGGCACTTTCTCAGCCTACTGGGGCCCTTTGACTAGAGCAAAGCCATCGTTAATGTTGAGCAATGCCTGTGCTTTGTCCTACTATGACATGTCAAAATGTCTGCTATGGTAAAAGACCTGTTAGTAAATTTACTCCCACCATAGCTCTGCACCAAATTCAACTTGAGCATGACTAAAGTACAAATTTACTGAAGTACAAAGGTGGAAGATTGTCTAATGAATTGCCGGATGGGCCGAAGACAATCAGAATAACTAAAAGCCACTGTGTGGGTGTGCAGGGGCCTATAATGTTTCCAGTGCGCTGAAAATACTCCTTCTTGTTACAGCAACTGTGTTTGGGGATCAGAAATAAACCGGCTAATTACGACATACCTGAAACAAATGCCCCTGATTGGTCAGGGAGTGTCTAATTAGCTGATTTTAACCAGAGCCAGCACTCTAAACGCAAAGCATCAATACTGCACAGAATCGTGCTTGATTAATTGTGGAAGCCAAAATCATGGTGGTTATTATAAAATAAATAATGCAGATCTAACATGGGGCTATACCAACTGTGTCTCCTACTTAATACAGGCTGAAAGAAATGAAAGAAGCTACATTTCTGGGTATAATATCCATATAATCTCATTTTCAAATTGGTTGTATTCATAGAAGCGAATCATGTGGAGACAAGCAAGTCAAGAGCCATAACAATCGTGGCTGAGAGTTAGCAAGAGTTGTGCAGAACAGGACTTGCTTTTAACATTTACAATGTAAATATGAGTAATACTGAGCTTTTGAGTGCCTTTTTATCACAGATATACGTGTTTTCTATATCTACAAGGAAAAGGCTGTGATATGTGCTGTCACACAAAGCGGTCAATGCAGGTAGAACCTGTACTGGCTGTTTTTTGTCACTTAGAATAACTTTGCATGAATGTTTGATATGTGTGTGTGTGTGTGTGTGTGCTCAAAAGAAAAGAAACTAAAAAAATGCTCATCGCTTTCCAATTGCTGAAATAGTGCATGGGACTTTCGTAATGCTTACCAGTGCTGAATCCGACTTTCACAGTCTTTCACCACCTGTTTTTTAGGACAAATTATTTCAAATATGAATCACGTTGAAAATTACAGTCTCGTGTCAAAGATTTAATAGAATAAAAAAGGAGTTAAGGTCAAAAGGCAAATGTGATTATTGTCACATTTTCTGCTCAGTACATTCATTTGACTGCTACTGCAAATACTACTATGCAAAAGACACACTGTTAAAGGTAAAGAATCACCACACACACACACAGAAACAGACAGAATACCCAACCAGACCAAAGGAGGAGGAGAGGAAGACAAACACAGCTGTCAAAGCTAAATCTGGTGAGGACATTTACACAAACAGCCCTTCACTGTGACATACGGTGGCACATACAGTTTATGTGAACAACTGTTGTTTGTTGCAGTCTGCATGACAACAATAACAAATACTAATATCATTTAAATAGCAAAGCATCTGTACACCTGTATGTCAAACACAGATAATACTAATAGTATGAGGATATATAAGTGGAGGAAAGAGGATGTGCTACTTCTCTACGTAAACCAACACAGGTTATACAGATAGAAAAGTAAAACCTATTGGAGTTAGATTATTATCTGGGACTTCCTGGCTCAATATCTGTGTGGGGGTTGGGTCCAGCTAAACCCACCTACCGTTATCTACGTTGGTCGACAACTCATAAATACGTTAAGAGTCAGTTTCCCCCCCTCAAACTCTGGAAAAACAAAACAAAAACCCTGCAAGCCTACAATTTAAAACCCCAGCAGAGTGAGCCCAGAAGTGCGAGGAAACGAAACTAAACACGCCTCCAAAAGCAATGCGAGGACTCGAACATGTGAGTGGCTGCAAGGGAGGAAGCTTCTGGAAAACGGGACAGGCGAAACAAACTTACTAAATGTGGCTTATAGGTTAGTACAAGAAGTGCACAGACGGGTTATACATGATGTTAAGGGAAAACACACTCCAGTAGATCCACTCGTGGGGTTTAAAGACCCTTTCCTGCTCCACCGCATGGCCAGTAGCTGACTTTGGGGTTTTTTTGGGGCTAACGTTCAGCGAAATGTTTGGTGTCAACTGGTTCAAATTACCTTCTGGTGTTCCTCTCGGAGCCTGACAACTCCGTCGAGATGATCTATATTCATTTTACCTTTTTCAGCCATTGTCAAACCACGTGCACAACAGGAATCTGCTGGTTTTTTCTTTGTGACCCCCTCCACAAAAAAAAAAAAAGAAAAAGCCCAAAGCTCAGGGGTTGTTGTGAGTCCTAAAGAAGTGTTTATGAATGCAGCAGCAGTTATTCCTGAGAGCCGTTCTGCTCGTATTCATCAATGAGGCAGTGGTAGTTATCCTCACTTTCGGTAGTGAGACCATTTCACACTCTCATTTCAAGATTTCTGCATGCTTTTCCAAAAAATATCCACGGTTTTTGTTCAATATTCCCCAAGATTAGCAGGTATTCCTGGGCACTCTCGCTGCGACAGCACCTCGGTCCGACGTCGAGCCAGCACGCGTGACGACGGCACTTCCGCTCAGGATATTCAAAATAATAGCCAGGTCGCTTCTTAGTGCAATGAAAATGCTGCCACTAGATCTGAATTGTTTATTGCCAAGTAGGTTTTTACACCTACGAGGAATGTGCATTGGTACACAAAAATCACACAGAAAGATAAAGTTAAAATATAAATAAATAAAGCTAAGAAAAGAAAGAATGAAATAATAATAAGCAGAGGCAAACCTGTGAATAAATAGGTAAATGGCAAAAATAAATTGATAACACACTCTAAAAGGATTCAATTACAAGTAAAACTTTTAGCATGGCCGGATTAATCTGTGGTTGCCAGCTTTGACATGACAATCAATATTTGAGTTAAAGTACGCAAGTATTGTCAGCACAAATACAGTAAATGTCAACAATAAAAA